CCAGGAAGGGGTGGACACCAAATCCAATTCGTACGCAGAGGGAGCGAAAGAGAACCCCCTCTCCTTGTAACACCAAGCCCCGCTTAGAGGGTAGAAAAACCCAGGCGGGGTCCAATGGAGCCCAAGGCCACCAAGCCAACCCCTCCCCAACCCCAGGAACCTCGCCCAGAGGGTCCAGGGCCGAGCCGTCCTCCTGAGCCCCCACCCCCAAAGAAAAGGTGGGAGCAGCCGAAAAAGCAGGAACAAGGGGGGGCCCACTGGCCAGACCCAGAAGCTTCAGCAGAAGGACCAGGCTCGAATGCCTCCGCCACTGCCCCAGAAAGGGACACCCCCGAGACTGCCCGAGTCTCACAACCAATTAAACCCAGCCCCGGCTCTGAAACCCTCAGACGTTTAGGAGCCGGTAGCAAGGGGTGGGGGACCAAACGGGCAACAGAAGGACTCAGAGGGGCGGACGGAACCAGATCCGAAGCGACTCCCACCCCCAAGTCCGGGTCCCTATAACCAAAACGGAGCAGTCTCGAGGCATCTTAGGCAGCAACCAACCTAGCGCATTGCAGCAACCTAAAGCGAGCATGCAACGCCTCAGCTGCCCTCACCCACATATCAGGCACAGTAGCCTGAGTGAACTGGAGAACGTACAGACAACACATGTCGCACGACTCCGGGTCAAAACAATCACCGACCCAACAGGCAACATAGCGGAGGCAAAACCGGTGAGTGTCCCCCTGAGACAAGGGGACAGAGCAACCTTCAAACTCGCAGGACGCGAGGTGGGGACTCAGGGGTCACATCCATCGGACCACGTAGCCCCTGTGAGGTTTTCCAGGGCCCTTAGCCGTGGTAACTCGCTAAGGGAAGCCCAGGCAGGGTACTGCGAACCGGAACCCAAAACTACCAAACAAACTGCTATAGCTGAAACCCCGGGACATGTACACTCACAGGGACCAATCAGGGAGGACCACCAACACAATAAGAATAAGACAACCCCAAGAACAGCGATGGGGGACCAAACAGGCAGACCCCCCCACCAGGCGAAAACAAAAACAAAAGAAAAACCCCGCAAGAGGACAACGTACCAGGGCGGAACAGAGCCGGTCGCTGTTAATGGTGAAAACTAGCTGTGCAGTTCTCCGCGCCCCTACCAGTGACGAAAACTACCCCTACCCAGAGACAAACAAGGGCAAGAAAAAGCCCAGCTGACCCCAAGGTCGGCCAAGTACCGAGCAGTACACGGCACAGCGGAGGTAGACCCCAAGGCGACCCAGGGAAGGTGGCCCTAAGCCCCAAGGGTAGTACTTACAGGGCACCTACGGTAGATAACCCTAGGCGCATGCAGCCCGAGCACCGTGGAATAATACTCCTGGCCCACACACCACTGGAAGGGACAACTCACACCACAAGGCACAGAACTGCAACTGCAAACAGGAGCCAGAGGCACGACCGCACCAGATCCCATCAGCCTGAGAACTAATGGTTGGGTCGTCGACGGTGGGGTCTGGGACTCCCCCCTTCCCCCTCCCGGGGAGGGGGAGGGTTGCGCAGATGGCAGCGCGGCGACATGATGACGCCATGATGGTTAGCAAATTTTCGTTTGGGGAGTTCTGTCCACCTGTTCGGTCTTTGGTCGCAATAGTTTACCAGAATAGGGGTTTGTTTTGGGGCGCCTACCTTTCTGGGTGCCTATCCTGGTCGATGGCAGACATAGAATGCTCCCAATCATACAGGGGGGTCTCTATAGGCCATTGCTCCTCGTGCCTCTCTAGAGGGGGCCAGGTTCTGGCTTGTGGTCCCCGGTAGGCAAGAACTCCATGCATTGACTGATGCCAGAAAGTTATACATATCCATTCAGCCTGGATAGCTCCAGGGAGCCGAAGGGGCTCCCCCAGAAATATATATATATATATATTGTATTATTTAGCCATGATAGTATTATAGAAGAGCCTGAGTGTGATAATGACTGGGTACAATGTTCAAATATCAGTGAATCAATGCTGTTCACAATGTTCACAGCACTAGCCACAGCACCACAGCATTATTTCGTCCATCTAGGAATCTTCAAATGACTTCTTAGGTGCCTTTTCAAAATAAACGTGTGGTCAATTATTCATTTACAGGAATTAGTGACCAGGATTGTGATAATAGCAGGATTGTGGTTATAATTAGCATCGTGTGTAGTATTGTGGAAGGAGGAATTTTGGTGAGGGAGGGAGGGCGAGAATTGAGGTAGCCTCATTTGTGTGTGTGGCAGCCACTCTTGTTTTGCTCAAAATACTAGCTTAGTGTTACCTAGCAGTAAATAGGTACCTGGGTGTTAGTCAGCTGTCACGGGCTGCTTCCTGGGGGTGGAGGCCTCGTCGAGGACCGGGCCGCGGGGACACTAAAGCCCCGAAATCATCTCAAGATAACCTCAAGATAGTGGTTCGCTATGGGCAACACATATGTACATGGGTATATACAGTGTGTGTATATAGTGTAAGAACAGCAACAGGAGAATGTTGAGAGGAGCTATTTTGGTGAGGGAGGTTACGGTGTAATCATAACGTCGTCTGCTGTCTGCTGTGTGATTTTTCATGCAGTGTATGGTGGCAACTGTACTGTTCGGACACAATACTGGCTTACTTGCATAGTTCTGGTAAATAAAACATGTAGATAGGTATATATAACATGTGTAAATAGTGTAATAAGAACAATAACAGTATGGTGGGAGGAGCAATGTTGGCGAGTAAGATGTTGGAGTGAGGGAGACTGGCTGGGTGTGGCTGCTCTGAATGTGTTGATGGTGAATGTATATAGTGTGTGACAGTGTATAGTGTGTAAATAGATTGTATATATACATAAATTAGCATGATACATAGTAAATATGTGCAGCATATGTGTACACAAGTGTCATGCATGTAACACAGTGTCGTCGGACAGTACGGATGTTTTACTGCCATAATATAGTGTACGTGTTCATTATACATAGGATTAGCACATAAAAACAAATAAAATGTATTTGGAACTGTGCACAAAAAATGAACATAAATATATTCGCGGCAACTCGCGCGCCCCGCCCCGGGCGCCCTACTGGCCCCGGGAGCGTACATCACGGGCGAACGGGGAATGATGACATCACGCGCCAACTTGCGGACCCCATAGCAAGCAAAGTAAGCCCAATTTCGATTTTTTTTTTTACATACCCATACTGAGGGAAGGGTTTTTGACACTTTAAAAAATCAAAAGAATTTTTTCCAGAGAATTTATTTCCTGCACAATGGGGAGGGGGGGTGTCATATTTGGAGGCAACGCAGTTAAGGGGTTAATCCCGTCCGGCTGTAGCTCTAGATACGTGGTGTAGGAGGGGGTGTGTCGGGAAAGAGAGGAGCATTGGGAGGGACTGCCTTGGGGATAAGGGGGATATGGAGGAGCCTATACACTACAGGAATTACCATTAATTTTTTAATATTTCATCACAGTCAAAAACAAAAGAAATAATTATGTAATAACAAATATACAAGTTTCCTAAAAACAATTTGCACGGGCTGAAGTTTGCTTAAAAAATATTGTGAGTTTTTCCCATGCCTGGCGGCCTATATAACTAGCCTGCCTGCCCCAAGTTGACCCGTCCAGGCCTGGTCAAGCCAAACAGCCCATGTCCTCCCGTCCCTCGCATTATACCACAGTGCCGCGCCATTAGTGAAATATTTTTTAAATAACTTTTGGTTTTCGTAGTAACTTTTGTCATCTTAGGCCAAGACTGTCTGGTAGCAGCATCAATCGTTCTAAAGGTGTTAGCACTATCACGCGTGGCGCGTGAGCGCCACAGACTTTGACGTCATGGGGCGGACAGTGCGGGTGAGCGTGCGACGACGCCTAAATGTGTATAATAGTTTCAGTTTTCTCACCTTAATTCTCATGCTGCGTCGTTCGTTTTGGTATCATTGTGTTTGCAATTAAATTCCCTGCAGGTGTATATGTATATAATGTCCAAAAGCCTCGCGAGACTCCCCACAGCAAACCCTAAAGTCGGAAAAGTTACACATGAGCACACAAAATCAGTAAAATGTGTATGCTCGTTTTAGTTTTCTCACGTTAATTCTCATGCTACGTCGTTCGTTTTGGTGTCATTGTGTTCGCAATTAAATTTCCTGAAGGTATATATGCATATAATGTCCAAAAGCCTGGCGAGACTCCCCGCAGCAAAGCCTAAAGTTACCCATGAACGACCACCAATTTGCACACCACAACCTAATGTGTATACTCGTTCAGTTTGATAACATCAATTTTCGTGTTACACCGCTCATTTTGGTATCAAATTGTTCACAATATAAAGGCATGCATTTTAAAACTAGTCTCATAATAATAGAGCAATAACGGGAATTTTAACAAATATTTTAATTTTGGACGCTCATCATTACAATTACTGTATTTATATCTTTCCAGTGTTCTGACATCAATTTTCGTGTTACGTCACTCGTTTTGGTATCAAATTGTTTGCAATCTAAAGTACATACTCTTTATCATTATAAAGGTATTCTTTGTCATTGCAATCAATAAATAATTGCAGCTTTTTGTTTATGTATGCAATGATGTTGAGAACAAATTATAATACTTTTGTATACTCAAATCATTTATATAACACATGTACCAAACATTTAAATACTGTACAGTACATTAAAACTAAATAAGCACATCAAATAATTTTGAAAGTGACTAAGTTTAAACAGATAAGCTAATTGTTGACCAGACCACACACTAGAAGGTGAAGGGACGACGACGTTTCGGTCCGTCCTGGACCATTCTCAAGTCAACTGTGAATGGTCGACTTGAGAATGGTCCAGGACGGACCGAAACGTCGTCGTCCCTTCACCTTCTAGTGTGTGGTCTGGTCAACATTCTTCAGCCACGTTATTGTGACTTACCACCTGCAGATAAACTAATTATTAATAGGAGTTAATATCCCTTTACTTGGCAATTGATCTAGTGCTTCATCAATTACTAAAACATTAATGCCGTACCTTGAATAGAATGATCACAGGTTTGTTCTGCAGAACACTTCACCATGCCTGTCAACAACATTTCTTTAGTTACTTTTTGCACTTGAAGCATGAATGTTTTATGAGAAGATGTCAAAGTCATGTTCTTCAGAGCAAAACTTATATGCCTTCTCAGCTCTGATAAGGAATGCATTATTCCTCGTTCATCCCCACATTCCAGCCTGTGTTCAAATAATTGTGTTTCTGCTGCAATTAAAAATCCTTGAAACTGTTCACTTCCCAGAGATGCCAACCTGTAGAAAGAGGAATGGGTAAAGTATGCAAGTATTAAATTAAATTAAATTAAATTAAATTAAATTATGCAAGTAAAGGGGGTCAAACCAGTGAGGTTTGAAAAGTCAGTTTCTTTGGCCCAGCCAAATTACTGGGCTGATCTTCTGAAAGAGGCACAGCCACAGAAATGCACCCAGCTTCAGACACCAAGCAAGTAGCACCTAAAACCAAGGCTGAACCAGAAGAATTTTAGAGTTTAAAATAAGAATTAAGAAATAGTTTAATTTGGCATTTCAGTTAATGTTTTCCTTTTATTAATTCTTTGAGCATAACATGTTCCCATGGTGCAGTGGTAAAATATTTGCCTCTGTGCTTCCCGAGCAATTTGGCCTGGTTATGTATCCAGGCCAGGGAGGATTAACTAGGCACCAATCCTTAACCCTTAAACTGCACAACATGTCATATGACGTGATGAGTAACTTACGCAAAATTGCGCATTACATCATGGAGTACCGCGCAAGATTTGAATGGCCAGCGGGGTAGGGGGGGCCCCCCATACGCTGCCCGGGGGCTATAGTAAACAGCCGCCATTTTGTAAATAAAATCCTGCTCTCGCCACCAACGCGTGGGAGGCCTCAGTTACCCAGCAATCACCATGGCAAGCGCACGGCCAAACGCCTCCCAGGCACGCAGTCACTTACTCAAGAGCAAATAACCAGTGAATTATTTTCTGATGGTGAGGAAAGTGATTTTGATGACTTTGACATTGATAAGGACTACACACAATTGACCGATGATAGTAGCACAGACAGTGGATATGAGATACAGCCTGCTCCCAGGGCGAGGCCTACATGCTCACCAGTCCCACCTCGCCCAGTGTCTACTCCAATTCACCCATGACCACACAGTTCTTGTACTTATTTAGAGTATGAGGATGTTTTGGGCGACGAGTCAGAGGAAGGTGACTCTTTTTCTGGTTTTAGTGAAGTGGATTCAGAGCATAGTATTACCACGCCTGTCGCTAGTGCCAGTGGTGTTATCAAGCGAGATTTTGTCACGTCAGCAGCATCTCGCCCAGCCAAGCGCCGTCACATGGCACCACATGAGGAACTAAGACTCTCATGTTTACGTATCTCCCGTACTTTGCGTAGATGGGCTTCAGCTTCTGGTCCACGGTGTGCAACGATTCCTCGCCGTTATGCCGCTGTTTCGTCTCGCAGGACACCAGGTGTACTTGTATGGAGTGATGGTGATGATTTTGTTCCTCCTGTCTTTGACAATAAAGACGTTGGGATTACAGACCTTTTCCCCGATACTGGTGAGGACATGTGTGAAATAGACTATTTTACAGCATTTTATGATGAGACGCTCATGGAATACTGTACACACTCGATTATCCGGGATTCGAATATCCGGAAAACGCCCTTATACGGCCAAAATTGTGACCGGATAAAGTTATCTCAATATCCGGCCAAAATGTCCATAGGAGTCGGAAAATCTGGTATTTGGCCAGATCAGTGGCCTAACACTTGTTGTACACCACCACACCACTCCCTCGCTTCCCACCAAGAAGGGAGGGAGTCACCCCTCACTGCTGTTCATTTCCTCTGTCCCGCCCACATACCTTTATGGAGGGCTCTTGATGGCGTATGGAAGATGGTGATGAGCGAGGAGGAAGAGAGTTGTTCCTGTTTGGAAGGGGAGTCCCCTTCCATTATCACATCAGGCAGTGAAGTTTTCTCTGTGGGTACTCTCTCTCCTACGTTTTGCCTGAATACCACTAGGACCTGGTTGTGGTTCAGTGCTTGTCTCGCTACAAATTTGTCAAGAGGCATTTGTTTTTCCCTTCATTTTCACATTTGTCTGTAATGATGCATCACAGTGTCATTGAATAGGTTAAGGCAACAACCTACTGCAGCTTGATTTGGGTGAGTTGTTTCAGCAAAGGTCTGCAATTCTTTCCATGCTGCACACATTTTCTTAATTGTTGAGGAAGAGAAATTCTGTACTCTTGTTTCTGCTCTATGGTCATCCTTACATGGGTTTTCATATGTTGAGCCTTACCACTGACTTTCCTGGGACTCATGGCGTGATATATAATAATTACTTTAATGTTCAAAATGCAAAATATCACCACAAAAGCGGAACTTCTTATAGGCGTCACTAAGCGGGCAGCTGTAGTAAACTGAGGCAGGTCGGCCGCGCGACTGGGAACCACGCGCTCGGTCGACCCGAACGTGTACCAACAAATATCGGAAGTCGATGACACCATCGGATGTCGAGTCGCATTTTTCGATGAAATTTACATCGAAACTCAAAATTATCGTAAGTAGGGGCAATCATATGTCGAGGTGCCACTGTGTATGTATGTATGTATATATATATATATATATATATATATATATATATATATATATATATATATATATATATATATATATATATATATATATATATGTCGTACCTAGTAGCCAGAACGCACTTGTCAGCCTACTATGCAAGGCCCGATTTGCCTAATAAGCCCAGTTTTCATGAATTAATTGTTTTTCGACTACCTAACCTACCTAACCTAACCTAACCTAACTTTTCCGGGTACCTAACCTAACCTAACCTATAGAGATAGGTTAGGTTAGGTTAGGTAGGGTTGGTTAGGTTCGGTCATATATCTACGTTAATTTTAACTCCAATAAAAAAAAATGACCTCATACATAATGAAATGGGTAGCTTTATCATTTCATAAGAAAAAAAATAGAGAAAATATATTAATTCAGGAAAACTTGGCTTATTAGGCAAATTTGGCCCTGCATAGTAGGCTGAGAAGTGCGTTCTGGCTATTAGGTACGACATATATATATATGTCGTACCTAGTAGCCAGAATGCACTTCTTGGCCTACTATGCAAGGCCCAATTTGCCTAATAAGCCAAGTTTCCCTTAATTAATATATTTTCTCAATTTTTTTCTTATGAAATGATAAAGCTACCCATTTCATTATGTATGATGTAAATTTATTTTTATTTGAGTTAAAATTAACGTAGATATATGACCGAACCTAACCAGCCCTACCTAACCTAACCTAACCTATCTTTATAGGTTAGGTTTGGTTAGGTAGCCGAAAAAGTTAGGTTAGGTTAGGTAGGGCAAAAACAAATAATTCATGAAAACTTGGCTTATTAGGCAAATCGGGCCTTGCATAGTAGGCTGAGAAATGCATTCTGGCTACTAGGTACGACATATAATATTATATATATATATATATATATATATATATATATATATATATATATATATATATATATATATATATATATATATACAGAGCACCACTTGGTTTCCGAACTTTAGTTATCCGAAACTTCCAGTTTCCCGATTGGGGTTGGGGAATCATGCTACCCGAACAAAGTTCGGGTAGGAAGGGGTCCGCCAAGCGTCACGCCGGCTTGTGGTGGTGGGTGGGAGATGGTCCAGTTTGCCCACTGTGACTTCACAGCTTCACGGCCTATTATTCCTATTATTTTGAATTGCCTTAAGGCTGGAATGTTCATTCTGTGCTTTTGTTTTACATATCTGCACAATCAAGAAACATCTGTGCACCATGTTGGCTCCAAATGCACGCATTGCGTCAGTGATGGCTGACTGGTGGGTGGATGGACGATGGAGCTTAGGTGGGAGGCAGTATGAGAGAGGGGGAGAATTAGTCAGAAAGGGAGGGAGAGAGAGATGCTAGGAGGGAGGGGGAGGTAGGGAGAGATGTTAGGAGGTAGGGAGAGATGCTAAGAGGGAGGGGGAGGTAGGGAGAGATGCTAGGAGGTAGGCAGGAAGGGACGGAAGTAGTGAGAATTAGGGAGGGAAAGGCAGGCTGGCAGGCACAGGCAGGCAGGCTAGCTTGCAGGCAGGCTGGCAGGCAGGGAGTGAGTGGTAGTCACGCGGTTGAACCGCGTGACCTTGAGAGATGGGATGTAGGGGGGGCGGGTGGTTTGTTGGTGGTGGGGGTGAGACCGGCTCATTCCCGAAGATAAGCCTAACACACACTACCCGTTAGCATGATGGCAGGGAGGGAGGCAGGCTGGCTGGGAAGGAGGCAGGCAGGCTGGCTGGGAAGGAGGCAGGCAGGCTGGCTGGGAAGGAGGCAGGCAGGCTGACTGGAAAGGAGGCAGGCAGGCTGGCTGGGAAGGAGGCAGGCAGGCAGGCTGGTATATAAGGAGGCAGGCAGGCAGGCAGGCTGGGAAGGAGGCAGGCAAGCTTGCAGGCTGGGAAGGAGGCAGGCAAGCTTGCAGGCTGGGAAGGAGGCAGGCAAGCTTGCAGGCTGGGAAGGAGGCAGGCAGGCAGGAAGCGATATATGGGTGTTGTAGTGAACCGTGAACCACGTGACCTTTGAGAGTGTGTGTGTGTATGGGTTTGGGGTGGGGGAGGTGTGTCGGTGGTGGGGGATGGACGGCTGACTCCGTAAGCCTAACCACACTCCACAGACCTGTGACCCAGATTTGTTTCTTAAATGTACAGTACATCATCGTATATTTTAGGCAGGATGTGCCTGCAGGCTCGCAGGCAAGCTGGCAGGCAGGCTGGCAGGATGTGCCTGCAGGCTCGCAGGCAAGCTGGCAAGCAGGCTGGCAGGATGTTCCTGCAGGCTGGCAGGCAAGCTGGCAGGCAGGCTGGCAGGATGTTCCTGCAGGCTGGCAGGCAGGCTGGCAGGATGTTCCTGCAGGCTGGCAGGATGTTCCTGCAGGCTGGCAGGATGTTCCTGCAGGCTGGCAGGATGTTCCTGCAGGCTGGCAGGATGTTCCTGCAGGCTGGCAGGATGTTCCTGCAGGCTGGCAGGATGTTCCTGCAGGCTGGCAGGATGTTCCTGCAGGCTGGCAGGATGTTCCTGCAGGCTGGCAGGATGTTCCTGCAGGCTGGCAGGATGTTCCTGCAGGCTGGCAGGAAACATCCAGAGGATGTTTGCCAGACGTCCTAATAATCAGTTAGGAATAATTAAGGACTTTTATAAAGCGGATCAGGACTTCACTTATTGGCGAG